TGCAGTAAATTCCCCGTTAAGTAGTATGTGTGGAGAATGGTGTGTGCTTGCTGCATGAGAAGGTCTCTTGCAGAAACCCAGTACAACATCAAAACATGTTTTTATTGTAGTTTTTGCTTGGGAGTCTTCCTGGGCAACGTAGTGGATTGGTGGGTGAAAGATCTGTGTTATATATACTGTAATGCAATCACAGATTCAGTTAGCCTTTACTGTAATGTCACCTTTGTGATGGAGGATGACACGACTGCTGATGGTGTTTTGGAGAACTACTGCATGGCTGGTGAACATATGAACATCACAGATTTATTTTTTAATAACTTTATAAACATAGTAAATGGCCAGTTGGATAAGAATTTCTGACAGTCAGACACAATGTAACTGGGAGTTTACTGTACTGATTTTTTCATCTTTTCACAGGTTTTCCAAAAATTTAGTAACTTATGGTGACTTTGTTGCAGTGAAACCCAAGTTTCTTTGGGGACCAAGTGGATTTGAACACTAAACTTAGGAAAATCTTAAATTGAAAAAAAAATTTGCACTGAGGTTATTGATTTGGAATTATTGAAATTGAATGTTAAGTGAAGGAAATTCTTAAAATCTGGTTTAATTGTTTCTAGAAGTTATATTGAGTTACAAGAACTGAATGTCTCAAAAAAGAATGAAGAATAACATTTTATAGATGTTTCGTCCTTGCCATAGCTCAGGCAGTGAGTCATCAGCTTTTTGATCATGGAGGTCTGGGGGTTTTTCTCCAAGCACTGGTACTTAAGTTTTTCCATATCAGTTGTCATTCCAGCAGTGTACCATTTTTTGTCTTTATCATCAAGAACTGGCACACTTGCATCCTAAGTACCAAGGGAGTTAGTTCATTTCACTGAAAAAAATAATAATAGTGACTTTTCTGCCTTGACTACTCATATTTCATTTAATACTTTGTAAGGCTCATTCAGGCTGTAAAGAATCCTTTTGATACAAGTTCTTGATTTGATTTTTATGGAGAAATGGATATGTAACCTAACAGTAACAGACATCACATGAGATAATGGATATGTTTGAACTTGTAATAATATTGTGTTTTACCCCGTGTATATAAGAATTCCGCAGAAATCTCATTTTTGCTGTATAAGAAGCTTTGACACCAAAATGAGAGAGGGTTCCAGCTCTCAAAGAGAATATACTTTGTACCAGTATAATGGAGTGCACTGACCCTGTAGGTGAGACTTCAGTGTGCAAGGGATTCAATTTGTTGCTACATAACTGGGTTCCTTTGTTCTCCTTCCATGCATGTATGGCATTATATGAGTCTTATCTATCTAGTAGACATCTCTTTTTTTTTGTCTTTGTTTCGGAAGTACATTTCAAAATACTTAAAAATATACTTTACCTCATGGACACCATTTTTGAAAGTAATATAGCTGTATTTATCTTTGAGTCAATGTAAATAATTAACAATACTGTGCATGCTATTTTAATTATGAAGACTCAAGACAGGAAATTATTGGTGTGTAGGTATAACTGCGTTGAGTTAGAAACTATGGAGGGTGGCAGTGTTATAATTGTAATGTCTTGAGCATACACAGTGTACTTAATAGTAACTTCATATGTTCTGCATATTTTCTGTTTGTTAAATATCACTTTTCCTTTGCCTTTATGATTAAAAATTCTAATTGTGCTCCTTGTTTATTAAGAATTGCCCGTTCTTGGTGAGTTCTGTGATTATTTCAGTTTAGTTCAATGAAAAACTTATAATCTCAAGAGAACGTATGTAATGAACGTCTGATAACTTCCATGTATTCATAATTCCATTTTAAAATTCTGGTTATTACCAGATCATTTGTGCTCTTTGCCGGATGCCTATTGTTTGAGTTATCAAATCGAGGAAGATAAGATTCGTGGAGCATGTAGCTTACTTGGGTGGTAGGACTATTTATAGGACAGGACACCTTTTCAAACTGGGACTAACAGATGACCCCACTTACAAATGGAGCCTAGAAAAAAATGAATCAGCCACACACATCCTATGTGAGTGAAAGGCTATATCTTATTTAAGATTTTGTCACTTGGACCAGTTTTTTATGGAACCAAGTGATGCCCCCATAAACAAAGTTCTGCATTTCATTCAAAGTGTATTATTAATAAAGGGCTAAAAGGGGGGGGGGGAAGCACAATAGATCATTGAAAGTTGCAGTACAAGGGCCAGAAAGGCCCACCCCTTATATGCATTCATTCATGTAGCTTACATTAGGGATCTGAGAAATATAAACAAAATTTTGTCAGAAGGGAAGACTTCTTGGGAAACCTAGGTATACATTGGGGGTGGAGGGATTGTATTATGATGGAGCGTCTGTTAGTGGCCCAAGAACAAATGATGACTGGCCACAAGAACTACTGGCCAAACTGGAGGCTGACAGACAGGCCAATATGAAAGCATGGCATCCTGGACCATGGAAGTGCTCGGGGCGAGCACTCTGGAAGAAAGGGGGTGGATGGAAAACGAAAGAAGGGCAGAGATGCCGTTAGGAAGGCGAACACCAGGAACGAAACGAAGGAAGTACTGTTAGGCTGTTCAGGGATGAACAACCTTCAGAAGGGAGCAATGTGACGTGTTACCTTACGTCCATCATTGTGACACCCGCTACAATCGGAACGGACACTTCCATGACAACAAATACATGGAAATTGTGGAGTTCCCGCAGCAACAAATCATAGCAACGAATTGTCGTTGAGCAACAGTGGGTGGGACGAAGCACATTACCAGTGTAATCTATAAAGAGCGTTCCCGTAACAACGGACTGTCTGAACAGCGGTGACGGAACTGCGAGAAATTATGTCTGGTATCCTGTCTGCATAACCCCTATATAAGCAGAGCTTACGACACGTACAGAGGATTGGAGTATTAGAATATTGAGTATAGAGAACGAGATAGTCTTGGAATAGCTGCCGCCAGAGATAGTTGAGATGCAACCACGGCCAAGGATAGTTGCACATTGGAGTATTGGGCAAGAAGTCAAGTGACACTGCAAGTAGTGATAATTGTAAGGTGTGTAAGAGTGAGTGTCCAATAAAAATTCGCTAAATCCAAGAGCCACATGAAGTTATTTGTTGCGTGACATACCCAACATGTGACAGTATTAAGGAACTAGGGTGTGAGAATGTGGACTGGTTTCAACTAGTCCAAGGGCAGTCTTTTGTAAACATGGATGGAAATGACACTCTTGATTTCACAGAAGACTAATTTCTTGCGTCTAAGTGACTGTCAGCTTTTCACTAATGATTTTTCTTTATTTAGTTAGCATACCTTATTTGGAAGGAGGTATATTTTGTTGG